CAGACTCTCCCAGCATCCCCAAAATTCCCTCCTGGGACCCCCCAAATCCCCAGTCCCCCCAAATCCCCAGCCGCTCCAAAATCCCAAATTCCCTTCCCTGACTCCTCCAGCACCCCCAAAATCCCCAAAGTCCCCTCCTTGACCCTCCAGCACCCCAAATTTCCCCACCCAGCCCACCTGGCACCCCCAATAATCCCCTCCAGCAACCCCAAAATCCCCAAAAATTCTCCTCCCTGGCCCCTCCAGCACCCCCAAAATCCCCTCCTGGCAACCCAGCACCCCCAAAAATCCCTCCCTGACCCCCCCCCAGCACCCCCAAATTCTTGCCCCCAAGCCCACCTGGCACCCCCGGGGGGGTTTTGATGAATTTCCCGTTGAAGTGGGTGATGACGGCCTCGCACTTCTCCGTGGATTCCATCCTGGGGGGAGCGGGGCTGGGCCGGGGGCCAGGGGGGGCCCCCAACTCTGTGTGCCCCCCAAAAACCCCGTGCAGCCCCCCAAAATCTCTGTGCTCCACCCAGCTCCATGCAGCCCCCCGCAATCCCTGTCCGCCAGCCCCATATAGCCCCCAGCCCTATGTGCCCCCTCATACCCTGCAGCCCCCCAGCTCTGGAAGCCCCCCCAAATCCCTGTCCCCCCAAGTCCTCCCCATCCTCCTGAGCCCCCCAATCCTTGAAGCTCCCCCCAGATCTTGAAGCCCCCCCCAAAATCCATGTCCCCCAGCCCCATGTACCCCCCATCCCCTGCAGCCCCCACTTCTGGAAGCTGCCCCCCAAATCCCTGTTCCCCCCAGCCCTTCCCATCCTCCTGGGCCCCCCCAGCCCCACACACCCCTATCCCCTGCAGCCCCCCCAAACTCTGTGCAGCCCCCAAATCCTGTCCCCCCAGCCTCTTCCCATTGTTCTGAGCCCCCTCCCAGCCCAAATAACCCCAGCCCCAAATAACCCCCAGCCCTCACCAACATCCTGAGCCCCCCCTTCCCCTGCAGCCCCCCCAGTCCTACACACCCCCAACCCCTCACAGCCCCCCCCAGATCTGTGCAGCCCCCCAAAATCCCTGTCCCCCCAGCCCTCCCCATCATCCTCAGCCCCCCTAGCCCCACACACCCCCAACCCCTGCAGCCCCCCCAGATTTGTGCAGCCCCCCAAACTGTGCAGCTCCCCAAGTCCCCTCTCCCCCCAGCCCTCCCCATCCTCCTGAGCCACCCCCATCCCCTGCAGCCCCCCAGCTCTGGAAGACCCCCCAAATCCCTGTCCCCCCAGCTCTCCCCATCATCCTCAGGCCCCCCCAGATCTGTGCAGCCCCCAAGTCTTTGTCCCCCCAACCCTCCCCATCATCTCAGCCCCCCCTCCATCCCCTGCAGCCCCCCCAGCTGTGTGCAGCCCCCCAGTCCTCCCCATCCCCCTGAGTCCCCCCTAACCCCACACACCCCCATCCCTCACAGCTCCCCCAAACCTGTGCAGCCCCCCAAATCCCTGTCCCCCCAGCCCTCCTTATTGTTCTGAGCCCCTCCATCTACCCCCCCATTCCTGCATCCCCTCCATCCCCTGCAGCCCCCCCAAGTCCCTGTCCCCCCAACCTCGCACACCCCCAACCCCTGCAGCCCCCCAGCTCTTGAAGCCCCCCGAAGCTGTGCAGCCCCCCAAACCCCACCCCCCCTCCCGTACCGTGCGAATCCCACGCCCCTGCTGGCGGCCGTGGGGGTCGCGCAGGATGCGGGTGGAGACCACCTGCCCGAAGGGCTTCAGCAGCGCCTCCAGCTCCTGCTCGTCCACGCCCAGCGGCAGGTTCGAGATGTACAGGTTGGTGGGGTCCTGCTCCTGTTGCTGTGGGGAGGGGTCAGCCCAGGGTAGGGGGCTCCTGGGGGGGCTCTGGGGGTCGCTGGGTGGGGATTGGGGGTTCAATACCTTGGCCATTTGTGCCTGAACCCCGCTGGCTTTCAGGGCTGTCACGGCTTTTTGGGCGGCTGTGGGGCTGTCAAAGTCCACGAAACCGTAACCTGGGGAGGGGGGAGAGGTCAGAGAGACCCTCCCCAAAACAAAGCAACCCCACCCCTCCCATCCTCCTGAGCCCCCCACCCCAGCCCCACACACCCCCACCCCCTACAGCCCCCCCAGCCCAGCTCTGGAAGCCCCCCAAATCCCTGTGCTCCCCAGCCCTCCCCATCATCCTGAGCCCCCCAGCCCCAAACACCTCCATTCCCCGCAGCCCCCTAGATTTGTGCAGCCCCCCAGCTCTGGAAATCCCCCCTAATCCCCGTCCCCCCATCCTGAGCCCCTCCAGCCCCTTGCACCCCAATCCCTTGCAGCCCCCCGGATCTCTGAAACTCCCCCAGCTCTGGAAGTCCCCCCAGACTTAAGCAGCCCCCCCAAATCCCTGTCCCCCCAGCCCTCCCCATCATCCTGAGCCCCTCCAGCCCCATGTACCCCCACCCCTTGCAGCCCCCCCCAGATCTCTGCAGCCCCCCAGCTATGGAAGTCTCCCCAGGCCTGAGCAACCCCCTCAAGTCCCACACACCCCCATCTCCTGCAGCCCCCCAGCTCTGGAAACCCCCCCAAAATCCCTGTCCCCCCACCCCTCCCCATCATCCTGAGCCCACCCCTTGCAGCCCCCCAGATCTGTGAAACCCCCCCAGCCCCATGGAGCCCCATCCCCTGCAGCCCCCCCAACCCTCCCACCCTCCCACCCCACCCCAGCCCCAGTGTCCCCCCAAACCTTTGCACTTGTTGGTTGTTTTATCCAGGATGGCTTTGGTGGAGACAATCTTCCCATAGCTGGAAGGGGATAAAGGGGGTGTCAGGACTCAGTGGGACCCCCAGCCCCCCCTGAAGGGTTCTGGGAAGGGGGGGACACAGCGGGACCCCCGCCCCACTCACGGCTGGCAGAGCTTGACCAGGTCCTGGTCGGTGGTGCCGGGGTGCAGCCCCCGGATGTAGAGGTTGGTCTTGCTGAGCTGGTCTGGGGTCCCCCCGGCTGGGCTGGGGCTGGGGGGGCCCAGGGGCTGGGCCGGGGGCACATAGGGCTGCTGGGGGGGGGGGGAAAGGGGGATCAGCTCTGCTGTAGACCCCCAAATCCTCCCCTCGCCCCAAGGAAAGACTGAGACATCCCAAGTGGGGTTCAGCCCATCCCAGGGGGCTCAGCCTGGACCTCACTGTCTCACCCATGGAGAGAAGGACCCCTGGACCCCATAATTTCCCCCCGACCCCATAAATTGCCCCCAACCCTATTATCTCCCTCCTGGAGAGAAGGACCCCTGGACCCCTCCCCTGGACCCCATTATCTCCCCCCTGAACCCCATTATCTCCCCCCTGAACCCCATTATCTTACCCTTGTCTCCACAATTTCCCCCCGACCTCATTATCTCCCCCAGCCCCATTATCTCCCCCTGGACCTTCTAATTTCCCCCTTTTATAATTTTGACCCCAAAATCCTCCCTGGAGAGAAGGACCCCTGGACCCCATCATCTCCCCCCAACCCCATTATCTTCCCTTTTGAGAGAAGGGCTCCTGGACCCCATAACTTCCCCCCAAACCCCATTATCTCCCCCCTGGACCCCATTATCTTCCCCCTGGAGAGCAAGACCCCTGGACCCCATCATTTCCCCCCGACCCCATTATCTCCCCCTTGGACCCCCTATTTTCCCCCCAGCCCCATCATTTCCCCCCAGCCCCATTCTCTTCCCCCCTGGACCTCATCATTTTCCCCTGACCCCATTATCTCTCCCTGGGCCCCATAACTTCCCCCCAACCCCATTGTCTGCCCCTGCCCCCCATTCTCTCTCCCCGACCGCATTATCTCCCCCAGGACCCCCAAACCCCGACCCTCTCCCCCATCCCCTCACTCAGGGGGTCCCCATCTTCCCCTCCCCCCCTCCAGACCCCCTATCCCGGTGTCCCCCCCCCCACCCCAAATTCCATGCCGGACCCCCCAAATCCCCCCTCGGTGACCCCGGTGGGAGCGGGGAGGCCACAATGGGGGTGACCCTTCCCCCCCCCGCCACTTCCATCACGGGATGCGGGGGAAACTGAGGCACGAACCGGGGGTGGCGATAGCGCCGAACACACGGGACCCCCCCCCGGGCAAACCGGAGCTCACCGGGGGGGTGTCCCCGCTCCCTTCCCGGTGTTGGGGTAGGGGTGACCCTCTAGGGGTGCTCCCCCTTTCCCAGCACCCCCACTCTCCGCCGCCCCTCCCCGGGCCTGTCCCGCCGGGACGGCCCCGGATCCGCCCCCACCGGATCCCCCCCAATACCGGACCGGACCGGGCCGGGCCCAGCGGGCCCCGCCGCCCTCCCGGTACCTTCTTGCCGCCCTTGTTGTAGGCGAAGGCGGGGAGCCCCGAGCGCGGCGGCACCGAGAGCAGCATTTTCCCGAGCGCGAGGGGCCGGGACCGGGCGTGACGTCACACCGGGAGCCAGCCTGGAATCCGGGCGGGCCCCGCCGCGCCGGGTCCTAGCGCCGCTCCCCGCCCGGCGCTGCCCGGGCTGCTCCGGTGGGCCCCGGCACAGCCCGGTCCTCCCCGTTCCCCTCCGGTGTCACCCCCGGTGCTGCTCGTGCTCCTCCGGTGTCACTCCCGGTGCCTCCCGTCAGCCCCCCGGTGTCACCCCCGGTCTTGCTCGTTACCCCCCGGTGTCACTCCCCGGTGCCGCCCGTGCTCCTCCGGTGGTCCCCGTCACACCCCGGTCCTGCCCGTGCTCCTCCGGTGTCAGCCCCGGTGCTGCCCGTTCCCCTCCGGTGTCACTTAGGGTGCCTCCTTTTACCCCCCGGTGTCACCCCCCCGGTGCTGCCCCGTTCTCCCCCGGTGTTCCCCGTCACATCCCGGTGCTGCCCGTTCTCCTCCGGTGATCCGCGTCACCCCCTGACCCTGCCCGTCCCTCCCCGGTGTCACCCCCCGGTGCCCTCCGTCTGTGTCACCCCCCGGTACTCTCCCGTTACCCCCGTTGTCATCCCCCCGGTGCTGCCCCGTCCTCCTCCGGTGTTCCTCGTCACCCCTTGGTCCTGCCCGTTACCCCTCGGTGTCAGCCCCCCGGGCGCTACCCGTCCTTCCCGAGTGTCAACCCCGGTCCGGTCCGTTCTCCCCCGGTGTTCCCCGGAACCCCCCGGTGCTGCCCCTCGCCCCCCCCCGGTGTCATCCCCGGTACCGCCTGTCACCCCCCCCGTGACCCCCGTCAGCCTCACGACACCCCCCTCCCCACAAATGAGACGCCTTCCCCCCTAGACCGCCCGGGACACCGGGGAAACACCGGAGGGACACCGGGGGGACACGGCGAGGGGGATCACGCAAGCCTCCTCTCACTCAACCGGGAGGAGAGGGGGTCGCCCTCACGAACCCCCGGGGGGGCTGCACCCCCCGACCCCTCCCCCGCACCGAGGGGACGTCACGGACCCCCCCCCACCCGGTGCAGCGCGGTCCCTTTAAGGGAGGCCACGCCTACCGCCGCCATTACCCCCTTGGCCCCGCCTCCCCGCCTTCCCCGTGGGCGCGGCCATTTTGGAAGCGCTGGTCACGTGGTTGGACACCACACCCCGCCCGCCGCCATATTGGTGCCTTTCCTCCGTCACGTGACTGCCTTAGGCCGCGCCCATTTCTGAGGCGGCTCTGGGGGCCGCCATTTTGGAGTGGGGAAAGGCGGAATTTGGGGGGCACCTGCGGGGTCTGGGGAGCACCTGAGGGGTCTGGGGAGCGTCTTGAGGGTCTGTGGGGCGAGATTGGGGTTTCTGGCGGGCTCTGGGGGTCTGCAGGGCAGGATTGAGGGGTTCAGGGAGTTGTGTAGAGTAGGGTGGGGGGATTCTGGGGGCACCTGGGGGGGCTCTGGGGCATCCTGGGGGCACCTGAGTGTCTGTAGAGGATTCTAAGAGGGGTCTTTGGGGCAGGTTGTGACATTTTGGGGTCTATAGGGTAGGATTGGGGGTGCTGGGGGCACTTTGGGGGGGTCTATGAGGCAGAAAAGGCCACCTGGGGGCTCCTGAGGGGGTCTATGGGCAGGATTGGGGGGCTCATAGGAAACCTGGGGGGTCTCTGGGGCATCCTGGGGGCACCTGAGTGTCTGTAGGGGATCCTGAGGGGGGTCTTTGGGGCAGGTTGTGGCATATTGGGGTCATAGGGTAGGATTGGGGGCGCTGGGGCCACTTTGGGGGGTCTGTGAGGCAGAAGGGGGGCACTGGGGGCACCTGGAGGGTCTACAAAACAAGACTGGGGGGTCTTGGGGGCACCTCTGGTGGTCCCCAGAGAGTCTGTGAGGTGACACAGAACGCCAGGGGCACAATGGGGGTCGCAGCCCTGCTGTGCCCACCCTGGCACGAGCTCAGCCAGGTTTGGCAGGGACAGCACAAGAGGGGCACAGGGTCCTGGGGACCCCCTCCATCCCGTTGTCCCACTCGGTGTCCCCCCAAATGTCCCCTCTGTGTGTCCCCACCGTGACTGGCCACATGTGCCAGCAGAGTGTCCCCAGATTGTCCCCACAGGGTGTTCCCCACATGTCCCCCAGTTGTTTCCCCCCAATCTCCCCTCCCTTTTGTCCTCCCTCATATTCCCCTGCGTGTCACTCACATATCCCCCCCATATTCCCCCCAAAACCCCCCACATCCCCAGGGCTGTCCCACCAGTGTCCCCCACATATTCCCCTCCTATAAACCCCACCAGGGCTGTCCCCCTGCTTGTTCCCCCCATATTACCCCTAAAACCCTCACACACCACCCCAGGGCTGTCCCCGCAATGTCCCCCTGTGTGTCCCCCGGTGTTGCCCCCATAAACCCCCCCCAGAGCTGTCCCCCCGGTGTCCCCTCACTCCTCCAGGGCTGTCCCCCACATAATCCCCCCCATATTCCCCCCAGAACACCCCCCACCCCTCCAGGGCTGTCCCCAAATGTCCCCATGTGTCCACCCCCATATTCCCCTTAAAACCCCCTCCCCACCCAGAGCTGTTCCCCTGTGTGTCCCCCGGTGTCCCCCACATATCCCCCCCATATTCCCCCTAAAACCCCCCCACACCCGGTGTCCCCTCATATTCCCCTCCCATAAACGCCCCACACACACCCCCCTAGGGCTGTCCCCCGGTGTCCCCCCCGTGTCCCCCACATATCCCCCGCTATTCTGCCCAAATCCCCCCCACATCCCCCCAGGGCTGTCCCCCACATATCTCCCCCATTTTCCCCCTAGGACCCCCACATCCCGTATTTCCCCCGGTGTCCCCCTGTATGTCCCCCCGGTGTCCCCCACATATTCCCCTCCTATAAACCCTCCCACCCCCCAGGGCTGTCCCCCTGGTGTCTCCCTGTGTGTCCCCCCGGTGTCCCCCACATATTCCCCTCCTATAAACCCTCCAACCCCCCCCCCCCCCCCCCCTCAGGGCTGTCCCCCCGGTGTCCCCCCGCGTGTCCCAGCTCTGTCCCATCCCTTTGTGGCCGCGGATTGTTCTGGCTTTGCCGGGCTCAGCAGCGCCGGGGCCCCCCCGTGCTGAGCCAGGGCTTCGCCCGCTGACTCACCCCACGTGCGGGGCCGGGGCCGCTGCTGAGCCGGCAGAGCCGCGGCCGGGGGGGCACCGGGGCTGGGCCCCCCTCCGGCCCCAGAGCCCTCCCACGGTGGGGTCAGACCCGGCCCCGGGCTTGTCCTGTGCGGGGTCCCCCACCTTGGGATACCCTTGGGATACCCTTGTCCCTGAATTGTGGCAGGTTTGTGACCCCCCCCAGGGACAGCCCTGTCTCCAGTTCTTGTCCCAGATGTGTGACCCCCTTGGGACACCCCTGTCCATGAATTGTGGCAGGTTTGTGACTCCCCCAGGGACAGCCCTGTCCCCAGTTCTTGTCACAGATGTGTGACCCCCTTGGGACACCCCTGTCCATGAATTGTGGCAGGTGTGTCACCCCCCCCGGGATATCCCTGTCCCTGAATTGTGGCATGTGTGACCTCCCCAGGACCTCCCTGTCCCCAATTCTTGTCCCAAATGTGTGACCCACCCTGGTCCCCCTGCCAGGGACAGCCCTGTCCCCATCTTGATCCACTTGTGCCACCCTTCCTGTTGCCCCACCAGGGACCCTGTCCCTACTCTTGTCCCAGCTGTGTGACAATGCCACCCCCCTGCCCAGGTGTGTCACCCTGTCCCCTGTGACCTCCTTGTTCCCCCCAGGACCCTGTGCTCATCCCAGGTGTGTCACCCTGTCCCCTGCCACCCCCCCTAGGATCTTGTCCCTGTGCTCATCCCAGGTGTGTCACCCTGTCCCCTGCCACCCCCCCTAGGATCTTGTCCCTGTGCCCATCCCAGGTGTGTCACCCTGTCCCCTGTGCCCACCTCAGCCCCTCCCCGAGGGTCCCTGTGCCCATCCCAGGTGTCCAACCCTCCCAGGGCCAGCCCTGTCCCCACTCTCATCCCAGATGTGTGACCCCCCCCCCGTTATCCCCCTCAGCCTTTCATCCCGTGTCCTTTCATCTCTGGTCGTCCTGGCAACACCCCAAAGTGTCCCGGGGGTTGCCATGGCACCCAGGGATGCTCCAAGGACCCCCTCCCAAAATCCTGCCGCACCCTGAGCACCTCAGGGCTGCCCTGTGCCAAAGGGGTGGCACTGCTGGGGGGTGACAGGGACAGTGACGGGGGTGGCAGTGCCAGGGGGCAGGAGGTGCCCCTGCTCTGCACTCCCCTCTGCCACAGCTGCACCATGGCCATCGAGGTAAGACCCCTGCGAGCTGCCCCAACCCCCCAGCCCCCTCCCCAAAACCACAGCCCCAGAGTCCCTCCCTGCCAGGGGGGGATGGGTGAGCAGCCCCCAACTCATGGAGACTCCCCAAATCTGTCACTTCAGTGCCCAGCTCATAGCCCTGGCACAGGGGGGTCCCTCACTGTGACTTCTGGCCCTGTCAGGGCTGCTGTCCCCCCTTCATCCCTGTGACCCCATTGCCAGGACATCCTGTCACTGCAGTGCCCAGGGACTGAGGGGTCCCATCCCCGAAGTACCCCATCCCTGTAGGTACCCAAAAACTGGGGAATCCTCTTTCCATGGCACCCCATTGCCCCAGTACCCCCCACTGCAGTGCCCAGAGATTGAGAGGTGCCATCCCCAAGATACCCCATCTTTTAGGTACCACATCCCATAAACTGGGGCACCCCATCACCAGGGCACCCATCACCAAGGGACCCCCCCATTGTGGTACCCATGTGCTGGGGGTCCCATCCCCAAGGTACCCCATCTCTGAGGTACCCCATCCCAAAAACTGGGACACCCCATTGCCAGGGCACCCCACCACCGAGGAACCCCCCCCACTGTGGTACCCAGGTATTGGGGGGGTCCCCTCACAAAACTCCCCAATCACTGGCACATCCTGTTGCCATAGCACCCCACCCCCAAAATACCCCATCCCCAAAGCCCCCCTGCCCCCTTTGTGCCACCCCCTCCTGGCAGTGCCCATGGGGTGACCCCAACCCCGCTGTCCCCCCAGGAGCTGCGCAGCGGCCGCTTCTGGCGGGGGGTGCTGGCAGAGCTGCTGGCCACCCTCATCTTCGTGGGGGTGGTCTTGGGGGCTTCGGCATCCCCAGAGCAGCTGGCACCGGCCCTGGCAGGGGGGTTGGTGGCCGGGGGGCTCCTCTGCACCCTCGGGGGTCCCCAGGCCAACCCTGCCTTGACGCTGGCCCTGCTGTGCACCCGCAAGCTGAGCGCCCTGCGCGGGGCCGTGGGGGTCCTGGCCCAGTGCACGGGGGCCACGCTGGCCTCTGCTGCTGCCCGGGCAGCGCTGCAGGATGGCACCGGCCTCGTCACCAGGGTGAGTGTCCCCATCCCTGTCCCCGTCCTTGTGCCCACTGTGGTACCCCATCTCTGAGATACCCCATCCCCGTGGGTACCCAAAAACTGGGGTATCCTATTTCCATGGCACCCCTTTGCCCTGGTACCCCCCACTGCGGTGCCCAGGGACTGAGGGGTCCCATCCCCAAGGTACCCCATTTCTGTCCCTGTCCCCTGGCACTGGACAGGTTGGACAGGTGTCCCTCCCTCCTGCAGGTGAGCGTGGCAGGGACAGCGGGGACAGCGCTGGCATGGGAGACCTTTGCCACCTTCCAGCTGGCACTGGCTGCCTTTGCCACCTCTGAACACGCCGCCCCACAGGCTGGGCTGGCCCTGGGCAGTGCTGTGACCGCCGGTGCCCTGGCTGCAGTAAGGACCCCCCCATGTCCCACCCACCCAGGGGGTCCCCACCCCACCAGCCCCTGACCCCCCCATCACCCACAGGGGCCGTTCTCAGGGGGCAGCATGAACCCCGCGCGCTCGCTGGGGCCGGCCATCGTCACCGGGCTCTGGGATGATCATTGGGTGAGTTGGGGGCACCCTGGGGTCCCCCAGAGTCCCCAAGTAAGGGGGGGTCCCCAGCTGCAGGGTGTGACCGCTGGGGTCCCATCCTCACTCCAGAATGGCGGTTCCTGATCCCTTCCCTTCCCTTCCCTTCCCTTCCCTTCCCTTCCCTGGGACACCAGCTGTATCCCAAATTTGGGTCCTCATGGTGTCCCCAAGGGTCGTCATGGTGTCACCATCACAAGACCACTGTGTCCCCCCTGTTGCCATCCTTGGGACAAGCCCCATCCCCTCAGGATGTGCCCCCTCCCCAATCCCCCTACCCCAAACAAGTGACACCCCCTCCCCTGGGGCAGACTCCTCTGCTCAGTCCCCATCTCTGGGGTGGGGTCCCGTGTCCCCCCCATCCCTGGGACCCCCCCAAAGCTCTGTCCCCCTCCAGGTGTACTGGCTGGGCCCGGTGCTGGGCGCGGTGCTGGCCGGGCTCTCCTACGAGTTCATCCTGGCACCGGGAGCGTCCCGGGAGAAGCTCAGCGCCTGCCTCGCCTGCCGGGACGTGGCTCTGGTGGAGACCCCCAGCCTGTCCCCCTCCTCGGTGTCCCAGTGCCCCCCACCACCCTCCCCAGGCGAGCAGGGCACTGCCTGAGCACCCCAATTCCACCGCAGCCCCCCGATCCTTCCATGGGGCACCCACAGGGTGGGCGGCTCGGTGCCCCCTCCCCTTTTATGCGCGTGGGTTAGGGGGGATTAAAAGTGTATTGGGGTCGCAGGTGGGTGCGGAGCGATGCTGTGAGGGGACCGGGGAGGGGGTCTCGATAACGGCACCGCGACACCGGGGGGCTGCGATACCGCGATACCGGGGGCTGCGGCACTGTGACACCGGCGGGGCCGGCCCTCCCCGCGGGTTCTCCCTCCCCGCATCCCCCCGGTGAGGGCGGGGGCCGGGACCCCCCGTCAGCCCCGTCCCGTGCCGGGGAGCTGAGCACAGCAAAGCCCTTTGTGGTGTCCTCTGCAGCCCCGGCAGATTCCGCCGGGCACCAATGGCCGGGCCGGGCTTTAATCCCCCCGGCCGGGGACTCAGCGCCCGCTAAGCCGGGCTGAATAAACCAAACCCTCCCGCAGACAACAGCACTGAAGGGGGGGGGACACCCCGCAGCCCCCACCCCACCCCGCAGCCCCCACCCAGCGCCCCTCCCAGCGGGGGTTGCCCCAAAGTGTCCCCAAAAACCTTTAGGGGGGTGGGAGGTGTGGCAGTGCTGGCCCCCAGCAAGGGGATCCCTCAAACCCCACTGAGGGCATCAATGAGTCACAGCCCCCACCCCAAAAAAAACCCAGGGATGGGGGCGGCACAGCTTAGGGGGGGTCCCCATTATGGGGGGGATGCCCGGGGGGGGGTTCCTCACCGCCTGTCACCTGTCCCGTGCCCCGGGCAGTGAATCGGTTAACGGTGCGGGGGGGGTGGCTGAGGTGGGATCCCACCCCCGGGGCCGGCCCGGGGGGGGCTTATAAAGGTGGGCACGGGCGGCCCCCGGGGAGGGGAGCGGGGCCGTGGAGGGCGGCAGCGGGGCCAGGCCATGCGGGAGCTGCGCTCGTCCGCCTTCTGGAGGGCCGTGCTGGCCGAGTTCCTGGGCAGCCTCCTCTACGCCCTGCTGGGGCTGGGGGCCTCCCTGCGCTGGGCCCCGGGCCCCCCCAGCGTTGTGGGGTCCGCCTTGGCCTTCGGGCTGGCCCAGAGCACGCTGGTGCAGGCGTTGGGCAATGTCAGCGGGGGTCACGTCAACCCGGCCATCACGCTGGCCTTCCTGATGGCCTCGCAGCTCTCCCTGCCCCGTGCCCTGGGTTACCTGCTGGCCCAGGTGCTGGGAATGCTGGCCGGAGCTGGGGTGCTCTATGGGGTGACCCCCGGCCCCGTCCGTGGCACCCTCGGCCTCAGCGCGGTGAGCACGGGGGGGGGGATCGGGGGGTTGGGGGTGTCTGTGGGGCTGGGGGATTGTGGGGTGGGGGCTGTAATGAGGATTTGGGGGCTCCAGGAGGTGTTTGGGGGAACTGGGGGGTCCAGGAGGTGGTTTGAGGAAATTGTGGGGGGTCCAGGAGGTGGTTTGGGGGAATTGGGGGGGTCCAGGAGGGTTTGGGGGTCTGAGGTACTTTGGGGCTGTAATGAGGGTTTGGAAAGATTGGGGGCGTCCAGGGGTTGTTTTGGGATCTGGGGTACCATGGGGGAATTGGGGGGGTCCAGAAGGGGATTTGGGGGAATTGAGGGGGTTCAGGAGGTGTTTGGGGGGGTCTGAGGTACTTTGAGGCTGTAATGGGGATTTGGGGGCCTGAGGTACTTTGGGAGCTGTAATGAGGGGTTGGGGGGATTGGGGGGGTCCAGGAAGTGGTTTGGGGGAATTGGCGGGGGGGGGGTGCAGGAGGTGGTTTGGGGTACCATGGGGCTGTAATGGGGGTTCTAGCGTTCAGAGGTGTTTGAGGGTGGATTGGGGGGTCCAGAAGATGTTTTGGGGTTTGGATTGATGTGGGGCTGGGCATCCCAGAAGAATTTGGACATGAGGAGATGTTTATGGTACACTGGAAATTTGGGGTGTGGAAGGATAACAAGGGAGGATTTGGGGTGCTGGGGGGCAATGGGGGAGCAACTCTTAGGGGTGCTGAGCCGCTTCCCCACACAGCTGCACCCCGGCGTGGGCCCGGGCCAGGGCACGGTGGTGGAGCTGCTCCTGACCGCCCAGTTCGTCCTCTGCGTCTTCGCCAGCTTCGACGACCGTCACGACGGGCGCCCGGCCATGGCCGCCGTGCCCGTCGGCTTCTCCCTCGCCCTCGGCCACCTCTTCGGGGTAAGGGCGGCCTCGGGGACCCCCGGGGGCTGGGGAGGGGTTGGGGGGCAGCTGTGCAGCCCCCCAGTGCCCGATCCCCCCGCAGATCCACTACACGGGCGCCAGCATGAACCCCGCTCGCTCCTTCGCCCCCGCCGTCATCACCCGCAACTTCGCCAACCACTGGGTAAGTGCGGGGGGACGGGGACCCCCAAACCCGCTCCGGGACCCCCTCAGGGCCTCCCCGCTTGTCCTGGCCCAGCTGCTGTGTCCCCGCTGATGGCGGGGCCTGCCGGTGCCACCACGGTGACAGCAGCGCCTCAGGGTGCTGGGTACCCCCGCGACATCCTGGGGAACGGAGACGCGTCCTGCCCCACCGGGACATCCCGGGAAACGGGAGACACGCGGGGACATCTCGGGGAGCGGGAGACGCGTCCTGCCCCACCGGGGACATTCCGGGGTACGGGAGATGGGTCCTGCCCACCACGGACATTCCGGGGAGCGGGAGTCGGGTCTTGCCCCCACCGGGGATATCCCGGGAAGCGGGAGACACGCGGGGACACCCCGGGGAGCGGGAGTCGGGTCCTGCCCCACCGGGGACATCCCGCTAAGGGGGACACGCTGCCGTTCCCCGTTCACCGGCAGATCGGTGGCTCCGAATGGGCCGGTGCTCGGGCATCAGCGGGGTGGGTACCGTGTCCCTACCGGAGGGCGGGGAGCCGGGGGTCCCCCGGTGCCGGTGCCCACGCCGCCCCCCCGCAGGTGTACTGGGCGGGCCCGCTGCTGGGCGCGGCGCTGGGCGCGGTGCTCTACGAGTTCGCGCTGTGCCCGCGGCCGCGCAGCTTGGCCGAGCGCCTGGCCGCCCTCAAGGGAGAGCCGCCCGCCCCCACGGCCGTCACCGCCGCCGCCGCCGCCACCGCCGAGCCGCCGCCCGAGCCGCCGGCAGAGCCGCTGGAGCTGAAGACGCAGGGGCTGTAACGGGGCCCGTCCCGGGGCGCGGCCCCGCGCCCGCCGCTGCTTTGCTGTGACGGGGCCGCCGCGGTGCGTGTGGTGCGTGTGTGTGCGGCGCGGCGCGGCGGGCGGCCGGCGGCGGGGCCCCGCTGCTGCCGGGAACCGGCCAACCGGGCTGCCCGGGGCCGCCCGTACCGGGCCGGGGCCGCCCCGCCCCGCCTCGCCGCGGCGGGACTTCTGTGTTCGGTGAATTAAACCTGCTCTTTTATTTTGGTAACCGCTCGCGGCCGTGCCCGGCACCGGGAACCGGGAGGGACCGAGGATTGGGGGGGGACACCGGAGCCCGCCCGGCGGGTGGCGGGAGGGGCCGCCCGTTCCCGCGCCCCGGGCAGGCCCCGCCCAGCCAGCGTCGTTCTTAAAAGGGCAACACCGCCACAGCGTCCCTTCCCCTCAATGAGCCCCTCCCGTCTTCCACCCCTCAGCGCTGCGGGCTGGGGGGCGAGGGCGGGGGGATTGGGGGCTCCCCGAGGCACCGAGCCGCCGGTTTGTGCCCGTGGTGGGCGGCGGGGGTGGGCGAAAGGGGGGGGACCAGAGGGGCCACGGGGCCACTCGGGGGGTGTTGCCGCTTGAAGGACGCGGCGGGGCGGGGCCTCGGCCCGCGGGAACTGGGCCGGTTGTGTAACGCCGCCCCCGCACCGGGACCGGGAGCGCGGCCGTGAGGGCGGCGGGGTCGGGGCGGCGGTGAGCGGGACCGGCGGGAACCAGCATCGGGGGGTCTGGGGGTGGGGAGTGTCCCGGGATGGCCCTGGAGTGGGGATTGGGCGGGATCCGGGGTCACCGAAACCGGGGGGTGGTTCGGGAACCGGGGGGGGTCGATAAGGGACTGGGGGAACCGGAGCCTCCGGGCGCTCCGGGATCGGTGGGCGCCCCGGGATCAGGGGGGTCCGGAGGAAAATTGGGGCTGAGATCCGGGATCGGGCGGGAGGGTCAGGAATGCTCCGGGACCGAGAAGGCACCGGGACCGACTGGGACCGGGGGTTTAGTCCGTGACTGGGAGGGGATCCAAACCGGGGGGTGATATTGAACCGGAGGAACCGGAGCTTGGGGTGCGCCGGGGCTGCGGGATGCGCCGGTATTGGGGTGGACCGGAACGGGAGGTGCTGGGATCGAGGCTCTACCGGAGCCTGGGGGTTGCTGTGGGATCGGTGGGCTCCAGTCCCGAGCGGGACCAGCCCTGGGAGGTTCATCGGTGTTGAGGAAACTGGGACCAGAGAGTGCCCCGGGATCTGCCGGTACCGGGGGAGCCCAGAATGGTGGGAGAACCGAACCGGGGGTCCCCGGTGCTGACGGTGGCCCGCAGGTGACCCCCGGTACCGATCCGGTGCGCAGCCCCGCGCTGCATGGACTGGTACATGATGAACTGCGAGCTCCTGGCCACCTGCAGCGCTCTGGGCTACCTGGAGGGCGACGTGTACCACCGGGAGCCCGATTGCCTCGGTAGGTGGGCACCGGGCCGGGGGGGAAACCGGGAACGGCGGGGACTGACGGCTCCGTGTCCCCAGAGAGCGTCAAGGACCTGATCCGGTACCTGCGCCATGAGGATGAGACCCGGGACGTGCGGCAACAGCTGGGGGCGGCCCAGATCCTGCAGAACGATCTCCTGCCCATCCTGGTGCAGTACCCCCAGGAGAAAGTGCTCTTTGATGCTGTTATCAGGTAAAAAAGGGCGGCGTTGGGGTCAGGGGTGGCTCCTTGGTGGGCAGGGGTCTCTCACAGCCCTCCACTCCGTCACAGGTTGATGGTGAACCTGACCCTGGTGGCTCTGTGGGGGCTCCTTGGTGGGCAGGGGTCTCTCAGAGCCCTCCCCTCCCTCCCAGGTTGATGG